GATGTACCTAAGCAAGCCCCAACCCCAGGCCCTAAAAACCTCAAGAATCCTACGGCCTAAGCCCTAAGCCTTTCCTGTAGCCCTAAAAATGACTTTTGGGAGGAATTCAGGTCTTTGGAGGGTGAGGGGGACTGCGTCCATTATTGAAATGAGGTAATGCCCCTATAGATCCATGAAGGAACCTAGGATTTCTTCTTTCCCAAGGAGGGTAGGCTTCAACCCGCCCTTCCCCAAACTCGGCGCACCGGGGCTGCTGGAGGCGGCGCCTCAGGCGCTGCTTCCTGCTCAAGCTGTTTGGGGTAGGCCCTATTTGCAGGGACTTAGCACGGATAGTGTTTAGGGTTTAGGGTCAGGGGGACTTGGTGGGCAGGTTAATGACCCCATAAGCCAGATAACAACTCGAATTATCCCCATTAGTAATACTAAGTCCCGCTGACCCTCCAAAGAGGCTAAGCCAAGGGTTTCAAGGGTTCAGAGGGTTTGTAGCGTTTAGCGCTTGAGGTTGAGAGATTAGGCTTGGGCACTCGGAGGTAAAGTTGAACAGATATTGAGGGCGTAGGGGTTTAGTTGCAAATTTGGGTCAGGGTTTGTGGGCCAGTGTCGCTTGAACTTGACGGAAGCACTTTTAAAGGCAGATGTCATGTTTCTGAGAACAGTTTAAACAAAAGCGCCGATGTTTTACCAAGAGGGCAACCATCAGCGCGAAGCCCCAAAGCCCAGACACCGAAAGCTTTCGACCCCAAGTGCTGCACTCCACACAGACACACACACCCAGGGCCCGAACAACACGACCCTAAAACCATTAACTTCCCAACCCGATAGCAATCCGAGCTAGGCCCAGAATCCACCAAAAACAGCCTGCAAAAACTCTCACCGCTCTGTCCTGAAATCCTTCGCTCTAAGGTTTGGGGTAAACCCTAAGCCCTAAATCCCATGCAATCCCAAGCCCTAAGCCCGAAGCCCCAGGCCCTGAATCCCGAGCACCAAGCCCCACCCACACCCCCAAAAGGATCTAAGACTTGGCCTCTAGAAGTTTAAAGGAATTATAAAGGGTTTGCATAAGGGCTATCATGGTCTATGAAGGGGCTCTAAACTTCAGATCCTCCCAGGGGTCTGAACCCTAAACCCTCAACCCTAAACCCTAAATCCTCAACCCTAAACCCTAAATCCTCAACCCTACACCCTAGATCCTAAACCTTATACCCTAAACCCCAAACCCTAAACCCTATACCCTAAACCACTGGATAAGCCCCCCCCCAATACCAAAGTCATAGCCTCGCCCTCCGCAGGCGCCGCTGGAGCCGGTGGCTCCGGGGCAGGCTCCTGGCAGTACTTGGAAGGTCAGGGGGCCCTTCCTTTTGGGTTTAGGGTTTAGGGTTTAGGGTTTAAGGTTTAGGGTTTAGGGTTAAGGGTTTAGGGTGTTTAGCATGTTTGGGGGTGTTTAGGGTTTGGGGTTTAGGGCAGGAGGATATTGTCAGGGGGTCTTAGTAAGCTTAGGTTTAGGGATCCTTGTTTAGGGTCAGTCAGGACTTAGTAAGTGTAGGGTTTTTAGTTTAGGCTTTTGGATTTAGGGCCAGGGGGACATAGTAACTAGGTGAATAATCCCTATGAGCCACATAATGCTCCCAGTTCTCCCTATGATCAACCTACTTACTAAGTCTGCCCTACCCTCCAAGTAAGATTCTAAACTATTTAACATGCCCCAAACCCATACCCCTCAACCTGAAATGCTCCCCGAAAAGAAGCTAAGAGTCGATACGAGATGAAATTTGGCATGCCCCTAACTTCTTTTAGAGGTACGCCCCGGAGCATGTTGAATGCTGCTTAGAAAGATAGGTTGCGGGGTTTCGAGTCTCGGGTACGGACTGGATTTATGGGTTTAGGGCTGGACAGGTTTGAGGGCTAATGCTACGACCTAGGTTTCAGGTGAAGGAGCGGACTATGTGGGCTTCATATCAAGGTGGCAGGTTTTGGTGCGTCAGCTGGCTAAGAATCCTCCTGCGGTTGCCAAGATTCCGGAAGGTAAAACCAGCACTGATGTGGCTGATGTCATTCTGTAGCTTAAGGTCTTAGGGTGGAAGCATGGGCCCCTAGTATGGGCCATTAGCCGTTTTCGACAGGCGCTCAAGAGTATGCACATGGTCTAGACTGGCTATGCAGGGAACCCAAAGTTAAGGGCGCATACTAGGGCCCCATGGTTTTAAGCTGAGGACAAGGGTTTACTATCACGGACTGATTCAAAGAGTAAACCGGTTTTGGGTCTGGGGTTATTTTTTTGGCACACCCTTTTCCGCCTGCCAACACGGTTTGGGGTTGAGCGTTTGGTCTTAGGTATAGCCCAGTAAAAAATGTCAACCACGTAAAGACCTCGACCAATAGGGTCTTACGTATGCGCTACCGTATTCTTCAGTGCACCCCACATTCCAGTAGGGATGTGCTGTATGTATGTACACATATGTATGTAATCTGTGTCAGTACACTTTTATACTCGTCAGTCTCTTGGATCTTCCCTGTAGAATCCTTTCGGGGACGCCTACTACCTCCTTTTCATCCCCATGTATGGTCAGGTCTAGGGATGAAGGCGCATCAGAAAAGATAGCACTTTAGGGGGAGCTTCAGGAATTACGTAAGAGAATCCCTGGAGTTGGGATAAACCTAAACCCTGAACCCTAAACCCTATATAAGCCTATACTGCGATTCTGAGAGAGGCTAAGGCGCCTTGATCTTGAGCAGCGGTGACGACAGCACGGCATTACAGAAGTGCTGGCTCTCGTTGTCTACCTCAGCATTTGGGATTTTTTCCTAGATGCGTGGTTCAGGAAGCATAAGGGGGGTATATGGAAATATATATGGATATTAAAGCCAGTCAAAGCAAGCGGCCCAAGTGCCTTCCTACCCGGATGCCCTTCGATGACCTTCAACCCTGGGCAAACAGAAAATTAATCTGTGTTTTTTGAGTTTGTGAGCGGTTCTGAAGAGGTTGACCGTTCAGCAGCCCGTTGGAAAGGAGCGCATACTTTCGGATGCTTGTTGTAACATACTATAATCATGTTACATCATAATAATACTAGAGACCCAGAAGCTGAAAAGTTGAAACCAAGACAAAACATAATTACCACGGAACGCCCCAGCAATCCGTGAAAAGTGTAAGCACCAGGATTTCCATTAAGAACATCTGAAGATGACCAACTACTCACATCCTGAACCCCATCATGACAGTATGTGGTATCATAATGGCTGTCGTCATGGCTATGGAAAAACGAGGCCCTGGCAATGTCAAAGCCTATCTGGTAGGCCAGCGCGCGACCCTCCTTTCGCAAGATCAGCTGAGCGGGCATGCGAAATCTTCTTGAAGGAGGAAGCAAGAGCTGGCTGAGCAGTCAACGTCAGCAATGTAGATACAACTGAACCATCCTCCAACGGTTCCTGCCCGACAAGGTCCGGAGCAGTTACCCAAGAAATTCTGAAGACTCTTCGGGCTTGGTGATATCACTGCCTTAACTTCCTCATCTTCCTTGCTCAGCCAATAGCTTTCTCTGCACCACAAGCACAGACCTTTTGATTGACGGAATTCTCTGCGCGCTTTCACACAGAAGTGTTCTCACAACCTCTAAACTTACTGGCGCTTAGTAACAGGAATAAGGGAATGTAATCCCTGTAATCCCTATATATTCGCTACTAACCCCCAGTAAGTAAATCATCAACCCCAAACAAGGCTGCGGAAGGGGGCCTTCTCTGGCCGCCCAAGCAGGTCCTTCAGGATCTTGGCGACCTGCCACAGGCTCAAACAACTGGCTTGGCAATGGGGGAGGAAAAGCTTAATGTAGACCCGTGATGCAGAAACCCACTCCTTTTAAGGACCTTAACATTAGGATCCCCATTACTGTCCCTCTTTTAATCCCTATGAGAATCCCCATTAAGGGGAGGGGGCTTAGTCATCGGGTGTCTACATTAGGCGCTAAGATGGGGGGAAGGGTGTATGGTCTCTAGCCACATCAACCCAGGCTGACAGTATGTGGGGCTTTAAGTACATGGATAAACTTAAAATAAGTCGACACAGGTTCTTGACTGTAGCCTTGCTGAACATAGGACTTAGGGTTTAGGGTTTAGGGTTTAAGGGTTTGGGGTTTAGGATTTAAGGGTTTAGGGTTTAGGGTTACTGTTGGATCAATGATTTTTGTCTCTGTCTCTCAACATAAGAACACAGGTGCCCTGGGCGAGATTGTAGAGATGCACAAGGTGCATGGAGTGGAATCTAATCTGTGTGAGAACATCTGAAGACATGGAGCGTGGAATTTCATATGGTAGTTTCCCTAAATAAGGAGACCCCAATATAGACCCCAAAATACTATAGTCCTCTCCCCAAAAAGGTCCCCCTAATTTTGGAAAACCCTAAACCCTAAACCCCACAAATCCTCATGTACCCCTATATAGTCCCTATAAACCCCTTTAAAGGTACCCCTAATTTTGGAAAACCCCAATATGAGCCTGGCATCCCAAGCCTTACGCATCTACTGGCACTGCCGCTCCTGCGATTTGCATCTTCAAAATGCTGTACATAAGGGTTAGGGTTTAGGGTTTAGGGGTTTAGGGTTTAGGGGTTTAGGGTTTAGGTTATGAGCTATAGTCTTAACTCCTTAAGGGGGTTATATATGGGATTATATACAGGACTACTATAGGGGTTATTAAGGGGGATACTAGTTTAGTCTATGACCCCTTTAATCACCTATATAATCCCAGTTTCTATGTCATTTTCCATGTTCTTTTTCCATTTGA